TATATATATATATATATATATATTGGAGGTACTAAGCACATTATTATTATTTAAACAATATAAATATTAATGTATGCTCATAACGTGAGTGATGAATAAGCAAATTAATGAATTAGTGAAGACGTTTGTCTTCTGTGTTGTTTTTATTTCGTGTCCCACTTGTCTGTCACAGTTTCACCAACCGATAGTTTATGTGAAATTAAAAAAATACGGAGAAAAGGCCTCGCTCATAATTAATTTGCCTAACGATTGAAGTAGTAATAATATACATAAGTATTTGCGCTGTTTCCATGAATCATTTACTTGTACATAAGCGTTTTAATATATGGTTAATGGATAATTTTGGGATATGAATGTAGATTTTATATATCAGTACATGTTGGAAATACGAGTTCACAAAATATTGAAAATATATGATTAGAAATTTTAGTTTCCTACTCATAATTTCTTTTTTATGTTTTAATTCAAATATACAGTATAATTTTCTTAAGTTGTAATTAACTTATCTGACGATTAAAGTAGTAGTAATATCCATAAGTATTTGCAGTTTCCGTAAGTTGTTCGTTTACCTATACATAAGCTCATTTTAATAAACAGCCTAATGGCTAATTTTGAGATATAAACATATATGTATAATTTACATATCTTTATTTAACCCCATAAAACAGCATTGTTGTCCCCCAGTGAGTCAACGGAAATTTTACGGACTTACAACGCTAAAATACAGAGGTATACAGAGGGCAAATAGCCCATTTTGTAGCTTTGCACTAAAACAAACAATCAAACCGCAGAGCTGGTTGTCGAAATAAATATCTTAGAAAAATAAAGGTGATAGCTTGAGAACTAAATATATTATGTTGTACTATGAAAAGATATCTGGAAATCTGTCATGAAATGTTATATTTCCTCTTGGACTTGTCCTATTGTAATGACTAAAATAAAAATAGTTATGAATTTCATTCATCCATATCAAGTTTAGTGTATATCTTTTGTCAGATATATCCCCCCTCCAGTGGCACAGCGACATTTCTGCGGACTTATACCACTAGAAACTGGGTTTCGATATCCGTGGTGGGTAGAGCACAGGTAGCCCTTTGTGTAGCTTTGTGCTTAATATCAAACAAGCAGATATATTCGGGTAAATTTTTCTAAATTTTCATTCAGGAGTTTTACATATAATATTAATTTTATGTTAAACGAATGTCAAAAGGTCGTTAACTTGTAATAATCGTTTCACTAAGGTAAATTTGCATACGTCAACGGCTAGAAATTGTATCACTTTGGCCTTTTGTCTGAAACCCCTGCCTCCCCCCTTCGCCAGTAGCTCAGTGATAAGTATGTAGGCTTACGAAGTTAAAATTCAGATTTCGATACCAAAGAGGCAATTTTTAACACTTCAAACTACTCGGTGCAGTTTTTTTAGGGGGCCTGTCCGTTCTGATCAGCTACAAAATTATATGAATTAAGGTTTTCATCCCAATAAATGTTAATAGGCATAGTTCTGTTCCGAATTTCAGAGTTAAATTCAAATTCCTTTTGTCTTTGTCCTGTGTAGGCGGTTCAAAATCTGTTTCCCTAGTAGACAGTAAGAGTCATAAGAAAGTATTAAGCCGACCAGTAAATAAACTGCGTATTGATAATGGTTGGAGACTGCTTGAATGGGTAATGAAGAAAAACTTTAATATAAGTTTAACATAACAGCAAATGTACAACGTTTCGACAAGGTTTTGTCATCATCAGGTACATCATCATCCGCTGTCGTTACACTGCCCTTTCCTTAGTATTGTTCGTCCCGAACAATAGCCACTTACATTAAATCAATAGGTAATTAACAATAACTTAAGTAAATGTGCAGAATTTACAAACACATAATTAAAATACAACAAAGTCTCT